TAGGAACCCATTAGACACAGAAATCGGTATTTCGGGTCTCCCATCATTTTCAACCGAAAATTGCTCTTCTCGAAAGAGTTTTACTTTAGTAAATCTCCTTACCCTTTACCCCATTTCAAAAATAGGCACTTAATAAGATCGATATTCAGTTTTATCGATTTTCACAATTTTGGTTGACACAGTTCTTTGAAATTTTATTACACAGCAATGCGTTTACTTTTTGTAGTCCAATTTTACACTCCCATTTCAACTAAGTTGTTGTTGGTAGCTATGGTAACGAAAATTTGGTTTGTGCAATTTAGACGACCTTGGGTAACTATTTATCAAAATACCCTCGTATACATATATTTACAAATATTTTACCGTAATAGCTGTTTTTTTACTAATAAAGCAATATATATTAATGCTAATAATTTTTAATTAAAGCGTAATTAAATGACGTTTGACCTGTATGAAATTCCACCTCCACATTTCTTACACGTACAGTATCAATGAGGCACATCTGAATTTAATTAAATTAATCTAATACATATTTTATTCAATATTGTAACCAGTCGACCAGAAATATATATTTCTGTTACGTTAAGTAAGTAAATATTTGCGTAGGAGTGCACAGCAGCAACGACATCATTTTCAAAAAATAACTTAGGCAAAACTACATATTTTAACAACACTGTGGAAACTTCTTAGGGACGATTAGAATTCGACAATTTTGATGCAGTGTTGTGCATAACCCCACTAACCTTTTCGAAAAGACAAAAGTTCGTAATTTATACCACGGAAACGTGAAAGGAACCCATTAGAGTCGATTGCGTGCTTAAATTTTAGTTTGGCATTTCAGGAATATATGTCTGAAAATTCTGATTAACCAAAAAAGTAACATTAGTAACATAAAACTACAGCATATACAAATCTATGAAAATATTCAGAAACTATAAAAAATTCTTCGTGAAAATGTTGATTAAAACCGTCTATTTTTTACAAAAGAATAACTTGACCGTTCATATTTTTTGACACGGCAACGAAATAAATTAGTAATAAAAATATTAGCCGAAAATTACAATTTTTCTCAGCTATCTAGGTATCGTAATGTCCACATTATTAAAAACTATAGTTTTTAATAATATTTATTATGGAAAGACCACGAAGGTCTTGAAACGTGAGTCAAATGCTGTCGCTACAGCACACGTAAAGTCCTATTATTCTATTATTACTATTTATTTTTTGTATCTTGTAAGATACGAAATTAAAATAATTGGTGTTGCCGTCTTAGGCTCGTTTATTATAACCGTACCATGTACTAAAATAGTATATTATTAGCCAAGGTTGCAGAGCCAAGCATTCTAGACCGAGCGCAAATTAGAACCCGAGACGCGCAGCGTCGAGGGCTCTAAGTGCGAGGTCTAGAAGTGGCTTTGCAACCATGGTTAATATACTATTTTTTTCACTAGTAGAAACCATAAGACAATAAACTGAAAAATAAACGTTCAATTTTTTGACGCAACGTGATTTTGTTTCGATTTCTAATCAAACTTGATCTAAATCTTCAACACAAAGAAAACCGTTTATACTTGTCGCTGAGTTAATTATTTTATCTTCTACCGTCTACCAACTACCATGCGTATACTCAAGTAATGTTTGTAGCACACATTTGTTCATTTAGCAAAAGTTGAATTTGCTACCACTAAAGGAGTCGACATTTGCATGCGTCCAGGCTGCTAGTGAAAAAAAATTTTTATTTTGTTGGGCATTTTTTTGACTAGCACTCAATGCGTATTAATTGTTTATCCGTACAATTCATATTATGTTCTGACGCTTTCTTTGTTATTGATTACTAAATCTTTAGCTAAACATTCAGTATTACTTCTTAAGTCTTTAAGACAGTGGTCGTATTTTTTCAAAATTCTGACGATGCCAAAAATCACATATTGACAGATCCTAAATCTTCAAACGTCAATTTTTCTACGACCCTTAAACAATGGCGTGTTCTACCATTCATTTTCAACGCATGTTACAAACTCTGACACCCTTGATATATAAATGAGCACGTAGTAGATTCGACGTGCAAGTGCTGCAGTTTTCAATTAATAGTTATTAATTTAATTTACAAAAATTGTACTTTATAGTTTAAAAGCAGATGAAAATTAGCCCTTTTTTATTTTGCGCATTAAAAATGTAAAGTCACGTATCTTTCGACGAAACTCTGACGCTACGTTTCAAAGCAAATTAAAATATTAATTACTTGACGTTCCCCACAAAAAGACTGCATCCAAGCCAGAAATTAGTGTTGAAAGTTTGGCAATTGTATCAAAGAATTCCACGAAATACCTCGCCCAAAATAATAATTTCATTTAAAATAAAATCATTTCATGCAACCTTTCCTGCACAGGTCAGGCCGAATCGGCCGTCGAACTAGACCTCAAAAACGCCAGAGACAACCTTCTCAAAGAACTCCGAAGAACTTCCATTCGGACTCCCAACGAAAAAACCCTAGAAGAATGGGTGGGTGAGGCATCCCGCAACATCCAGAAACAATACGAAATTCGTCTAGAAAACCACTACACTACGCACAAACTCGCTGTGATTAACGGTATCGAAAACGAAGTTTGGACGTTTTGGAATTCGATTGTTTTCTGTGGCACGGTATTCACAAGCATAGGTAAGAACAAAATTTATTTGTGTTGGCAGGAGTAGCACATGATTTCGACATCATTAACCAAAAGTGACAATTCCACGAAATTCCAGCACGAGTGACTAAACCACGATAAATCAATAGTGTTTATCTCGGGATGCCTAGGTGTCATGTTAGATATGAGAAATAAATAGCGCCAACTATGTGTGACTAAAAATATGACGGCGTTTGACCCACGCTTTTGCGAGGCGGCTAATGAAAAGTTCAACGTTTTTATTTCTAATCTCGTACTGGTATTTTGGAAAAATCGAAAAATTTAAACCTAAAGGTGTTTATTCATGGGAATCTAGGCCAGTTTCGTCATGGCTGCACTTCTGACCTAAAATTTACTCCTGCCAGAGGAGCCACAAATTAACATTAATTGGACAGGATTAAAACTGATGGGTGGTGGTGGCGTCAGGAAGTCACGTCAGATCCTGAAATATACTATACTCCTTCTAGTCCTACCTTAACAGTCTTCTCTAAGTATGTTTGATGTTTTTCCACAAGTATAAACATACACTGCGTTTACAGGAACACCAAAGCAACTTACAAATTTTGATGATGGCAAAAAAATAAATTTTTGGGACTGAAGCATAATTAAAAATATCCCACTACATACACACAACATTACCTTAATTAAATAGAACATTACAACTATATGACAGACGCAGAATGGAAACAAATAACGTGACAAAAAGTGTGACTGATTCCAAAATATTTATTATTTTAGTATCAAATGACCAATGGAGATTTATATATTTAACATTCAAAAAGTAAATTAGAAAATTAATTCATTCTAAATAATCCATTTTATTGTTTAAATTTTTCGCCTCATTTCGTACTAATAAAATATACTTTTATGTTAAAACGTCTATCTGTTTGTCAGTCAAACAGTTATGCTGCAATATGCCAACTGACCAAAGCGAAGTTGAATCGGGTAGGTCGTGAAACTACGCTAAACAAAAGCAAATCTAAACTGATAATTCAATTGGTTCTCACAAATTGTAAAAGATAATATCGAAAGAAACTCAAAGCTAACTAGATTGAAATTATTTTGAAACACCCTTTATCATATTTTTTGGGAATTAAATAATGTAGATCAGCTCGAAATTTCATTTCATTTCAGACAATATTAGTGTTATTAAAGGCGTTAAAATTAATTCGTTTTAAAGATATGAAACTATGAAAAGATTCTGAAATGTACTTATACAATTTTCAAAACAGAAAAATCTGGAAACTGGGAAATTACGTTCTGAAATTTTAGAAAATCCTTAGTCCAGAAAATATGCTTTACGCACCAAAACAAAACTGATTGCTTTTAAGAAAACTGTCCTTACCTTGAGTTCATAAATAGAACTTTTGTAAATTGAAACGTATTTAAGAGACGATTATGTGCTTAATACCCTTTTTTATGAATTTAGGTGCTGTATAACTTACGACGCTATTAAAACGTCAAATTTATAGCTGCTGAAAATGCAAAAGGAGTTAAGTCAAACATACTTAAAGCTACTCATTTACTAGTAAACTCATAAAGTTGTGTAAACAAACGTTAGGTAAAATTTCAAAAGAGAAGCCGACTTTTGTTCGCTATTTTCAACGAACCTCCAAAATTACTTGAAATTAATTTAAATCGACCTTCTCTCTTTTCTGAAATCGCAACAAGTCGAGCGACTCATCTGTTCATATTCATAAATAACCAACTTTTCCCCTGATCCCAAAATCCCAACTAACATCTCCTCGAAATCTGAATCAACATGACGTCAGTAACTTCCTAAATTTACAGTCTAAGCAAGAAATTTCTCAAATGCAACCACAGAGCAAACCCATAAACCACAGCATAAACCGATCGACAATTTAAAAATTTTATTTCGAGTAACTTACGAGTAATGATTTTGATCGGTATGACTCACATTTTATTTCAATGTTTTTGTATACACGAGAGTGTTTATTTGATCTACAAACTAATAATTTCATTTTTTTATCACAGGGCATGTGCAACGTTTTATTGGTAATTTTTATTTCTTGTTTTGACTTGACGGAGAATGACCTGCTTTACAGCTTTTCCACCAATGTAGGCAACCAAACATACGTTCGGGGTGCTATTTTTACACTAAAGTGGCACACCTGTTCAAGTAATGTCGTTTATCCTACCACAGCCTCTTCATTTTATAGACGCAGCTAATCAATGATCATAATTATCCAGAACTAGGACCAAAAATAAACCGCCGCAATTCGGGCACCCACAAAACCCTGTTTACATTGCAAGCCACGCACGCATAAATAAAACAGACCCAGTGACGGACTTCGCACAATTGTTGATTGTCCAAAAGATCAACATTCAAAGTTTCGCAACGCAGCAACCCTTCGTCAATCGAATAATTATCTGATAAACAATGTGTAACGAAAAATCCAAACCACGTACCGAGTAAACTACAAATCCTCTTAATCCCTCCCTGGTCGAATAATTTTGCTCTCTCTTCCATTTAAAAATATCCTCAAGTTCCGCGCTCCATCTACCTCGCTTGCCACTAACTCCGTCCAAATCCAGCCTCAACCTCTAAATTTAGCTTAGTCTCGAAATAATGGATACATCGCAAGCACCTCCGGAACCTCCAAGCGAACCGACTCAAGAAAATGAAGAAAAAGAAATCGACATGGCGAAAATCGAGGCGATGGTGACTCCGGAACAAGTGCACAGTGCGTCGATAGCGAAGAAACGACGGACTTTCACGAAACGACGAAGTGCCAATCGACGGGATCAAACACCTCTCAAAGAAATCGACGACAAGGCGACGACCACCGACGAGGATGTGCCCGAACAGCGACCGAAAACGCCCGAACGGAGAAGGAGGAAGAGAACTGTGAGTAAACAAGAAGAAACAAAATCGGAAACGGAAACCGACAAAACGGAGACTGTGGAAAAGCCGGAAACAAATCAAAACGAAGACAAACCAAAACAGGTGACGACTAAAAAGTCGCACAGTTTCAGCAAATCCACAACGGAGGAATACAAGAAGAGGGAGAGCTTGACGGATATGGCGCAAGCGGAAGTTGTTAACCTGTTGAACAAAACGAAGAAAGGAATTAGTGCGGCGGCTACCAGAGGGCGCGAGAAGTTGAAAAAGTTTGATAAAGAGAACGTGAAGAGGAGCCAGTCTGCACCTCAAGGCTTCACCCAAGAAGAACTGATTGAGAGTTTTCGGAAAGCACAACTTTTGGATAATTCTAAGAGTAAAGATGTGCCAAAAGAGGAAGAAGTTATACCAAAAGAAGAAGAAGCTATGCCGAAGGTTGAAGAGCCTGCTCCCAAACCTCCACCAAGAAAAGCTTCTGATGTCAGTGTAGATGAACCAGCTACTCCGAAACCGTTTCGACCAGAAGTTCAAGAATTCGTGAGACAAAGAAAGAAACAAAGAGCAGTAACGTCGACCAAAATTGTAGAAATTTTAGATCCGAGAACCTCGAATGTGATAGCAACCAGAGCTGTGGTTACACCAGACTTTCGTCTTAGACAACTGTTTGGTGTGATACGGGTCTTCACCGTAAAAGAATTAATAACTAATTTCCGATTGTTCAAACAAGACATGAAAGACGAATGTCGAAGAATTAGGATTTTGAGGAACAAATGCATGTGCGAACTTTTCTTAATACTGATATTCTGTGGACTAGGCGGTTATTTATTCAAATTTATCGAAGGTACATTCGAATATTTCTACAAATGCGGCGTCAAAAGAGTAAAAAGAGATTTCATAGATTTATTGTGGCTTAGAAGCCACAACTTGAGAGAAGAAGACTGGAAATCTTTAGCAAGAACAAAACTACGAGTATTTGAAGAGGAATTACATGCTGCACATGAAGCTGGAATGAAGACTTACAGTGGTCAAAGATCTTGGAGTTTTCTTAATGCTGTAGTATACTGTCTTTCAATTGTTACTACTATCGGTACTTCTAGATTCTGTCAGTTAGTTGCTTCAGTTTCAATAACTTATTTATTTCCAGGTTATGGTCACATCTATCCTGAAACCAAGACTGGAAAAGCGCTCACTATCGTCTATGCGATCATCGGCATCCCTCTGTTCCTTCTAGCGCTAACCGATTTCGGTAAACTCTTCACCAGATGCATCAAATTCCTTTGGTCCTTCGTACGACGACTCTATTACACCGGAAGCTGCAAGAAAGTCCGAAAAACAGCACACGTAAAGGTATTATTTTCTAGAACCTAAGCCACTTCTTCGAAAGTTAAAAATGCGTATTTTTTCCCTTAGGAACTCGTCAAAGGCGCCCAAATGATGTACGAAATCGCCACTTTCCGCCGTCCCTCCATCTTCTCAGATGCCGAAAACCCAGACACACCATCTACCGACCAACTTGAAACTCCAATAACACCTGCCATGTCCAACTTCGAGATTGATGACGAATTCAACTTACCTATTTCTTTGGCCATCTTTATCCTACTGTTATATATTTTCTTGGGGGGTTTAATTTATTGTTTGTGGGAAGGCTGGGGTTTCTTCGATGCTTTCTACTTTGTTTTTATATCTATGTCGACTGTCGGTTTTGGTGATATGGTGCCTAATAATGCGGCTTGTATGATTGTCTCGATTGTATATTTAGTTTTCGGATTAGCACTTATGTCAATGTGTATTAATGTGGTACAAGATAAATTGAGTAATACTTTTAAGCAAGCTTCTACGAAAATAGGGGCTACTATTGGTCTTGCGGTTGCTGATGACGATGGTAGTATTAGTACGGTTGCTCCAGGAAAGGTAGAAGTACCGGAAGTGCACGATTCGAGAAGTTTGGCAAGTGAGGCTAGCGTTAAAAAGGAGAGTTAATTATCTCTTCATTTCCAGATTTGTACATTATCTTATAAAAGTTAATTTATTTCTTTACTTACTTGTGACTATATATATTTATTGTGTCATAAATTACTGAGTATGTACCTCAAAGAGTTTATTAGTCTGCCTTGCATATTTTTGATCCACAAAGTGCGAGACATACAAATAAGCTTCAGCGAGATTATTTGACTTCATCGTAAAAGTAACTAAGAAGAAGGTTGTGCTTTTTTACAGCACCAACGCGAATAATCTCGCTATATATGTTCTAAAACTTTACTATTCTGTGAATTTAAGAGTGATAATATTATAGAATATAGGTCTTCCAAGGAATTTTCCAAGTCAACCAATTATATAATTTTTTTGAAATAAATTTTACTAAAAGGAAATGCGCATTATTTCATTACGCCTACGCAAAAATTCCCAACTGTAGAATAAAGGATAACGCAACTGTTAACTAATTTACAAAGTATGTATTTTAATTTTGAACACTATTCACAAGATCTGTTTCTTGTAGAATTACGGGGGGAAAAGTTATCAGTGTATGTATAATATGTTAATGGGAATTATGAAAATTTGATAAAAAAATGATATTTTTCAAAAAACAGTATTTAAATTTCTTTCCTTTTTTTTTCTAAAAAGAGTAATGTATAGTGAAACCTCCTGTAACGGACACCTCCCAACACCGGACACCTCTCCACAGCGTGCAATTTTCACTATCCCAACGTATAAAATAAGTCATTTATTGTAAAGAATCCTCCGAACAACGGACACGGACAGTAATTTTGGCGCATTTTTAGTTATTTTCTTTGGAAAAATTACCTCTTCCCGGTTCCGAGATTAGACCGTACAATAAAATTTTAAAGATTAGGCCAACAGATTCTCCGTACTAGGTAACTCTCTTCAACACCACACTGCTCATAATACGAGTAAATATGGGTTTTTCCAAAATATCAAAGCTTGGGATGATTTTGTTTGTCATGAACTTATGAAACATTATTATTTGACTGTTTACGTTTAAAGTGTGTAACACGACCGCTAAGCAAAGAAATTTTTAAGTATTAGTGAAAAAAATTGAAGTTATCGACAATTCCGAGAAGTTGAAATTAAGCATTTAGCGACTCTCAGAAAAATTCGCCGTTGGTATGTACATGTTAAAATGTAGTGCTTTTTTATTTCGTGTCTTGAAACCTCTTGACAGCGGAAACCATACGTGTCCGTTGTGGAGAGGTTTCACTGTATATATGTTACAGCTAATATTCGAAATACGTTATTATGCATAATAACTAGATATTTTAGGAATTATGCGTAATAACTAAACTTGTCAGTTATTATGCATAACAACCGGAAACATTAGGAATTATGCGTAATAACTGAATTTTTCAGTTATTATGCACAATAACGGAAACGTTTAGGTAATATTGATAATAACTAACAGAGGAACAGGAATTATGCATAATACCTGTTAATTATTAGTCATTAAGTATAGGTATTGCCTAATAGGCCAGGGCCGATAATTTTTGAGAACAAAAAAATTTAGAACAGGATGATACCCATTGGAAAAGGAAGAAAATATAACTAAAATAAAAGGAAAAATAATTTACGGGCGATCTGAGGTTGGGAAGTGGAAGAGGGTGAGCTTTTAAGGGTAGAAAACGGTTTATCACGATTTCCGGCAAAACTACAAGTCCTATCGAAAAAAGTTAAATGGCAAAGTTCTAGGTAATAAAGGGATCTACAACTTTTGTATTTAGACTTTTTTTAAATAACCTCAAAATTTACGTGAAAAATGCAAATAACCGAGTTTTTGGTTTTTTATTTTTATCTCCCACAAAAAAGTTTTTTTTTCACGAAATTTGGTGAAAACTTATCTATTTATGTCCCAAAATCACTGTAATTTTTTTGATTCAAAATATTTATTTTTCTCCCTTATTTTGATTTAATATCGAAAAACCACCCTAATTTTCAATCGAAAATTCTCACGTCAAAATGTTTGCTTTTTTAAAAAAATCGGTTGTTCGTCAAAATCTCTACTTTCTGATGGTGTAAAAAAAAGTATACATTACTCTGGCAAATTTTCACAGGAAATCCAAATAAACGAAAAACTCGAATTCGAATTTTTGTTTTCATGTAAAATTTTGAGCTATTTATTAAAATTTACACATCAATTACTCGAAAAAAATAAGATTCCATGTTACACTGATAAACTCAAAAATTTAAAATCCATTAAACCAACGCCTTCTCTTGGTGGGAGATTTGTCAATATGAAAGATAATTTAATTGATTCAGTGTTATATTGTCATTTTTACATTTATAAATATATTTGATTAATTGTAATCCATGTTTTTGCGATATCTTCTTTGTTTGCATGTTTTTTATAAAAAATATAGGCCAAATTTGACAAATTATCGTCTGACTAGCAGACCCAGTAAATATTTTAGTAGTTAAACAAAAAATTAAATCAAAATAAATAAATAAATTATAATTAAATTAAATTATAAATTATACATAAAAATTTATAGGTAAGTTTTCACCAAATTTCATGAAAAAAAAATTTTTTGTGGGAGATAAAAATAAAAAACCAAAAACTCGGTTATTTGCATTTTTCGCATAAATTTTGAGGAAAGAAAGTGTAAATACAAAAATTGTAGATCTTTTTATTACCTACAACTTTGCCATTTAACTTTTTGCGATAGCACTTGTAATTTTGCCGGAAATCGTGATAAACCGTTTTCTACCCTTAAAAGCTCACCCTCTTCCCCTTCCGGACCTCCGATCGCCCGTAGATTATGTTTCCCTTTATTTTTGTTATATTTTCTTCCTTTTCCAGTGGGTATCATCCTGTTCTAATTTTTTTTCACTTTTTACCATTTTCAAAGGCTTAGAACATGTCCAGCTGATTTAAAAAAAAAACGGGACAAGATGAGCAATTCAGGTTGTTACAGATCGAAAAGCAATGGGAATATGACTTTTATATAACTGTAATTTGTCCTTTTTTTTAAATCAACTGTACATGTGATATGTAGGGGAAAGCGAGGCAGGGTGGGTAGCTTTTTGGAAAATATTATGCATAATTCCTGTTTCTGTGTTAGTTATTATCAATATTATCTAAACGTTTCCGTTATTATGCATAATAACTGAAAATTTCAGTTATTACGCATAATTCCTAATGTTTCCGGTTATTATGCATAATAACTGATAAGTTTAGTTATTACGCATAATTCCTAAAACGTCTAGTTATTATGCATAATAACGGATTTCGGATATTAGCTGTAACATATACAAATATCAGCTAGGGAGAATTTATTTAGTTTTTTATTGCCAACCTATTTACCAAAAATTGAGATTCTTGACATTTTGCAAAATATTTTACAAAATAAGCCTTATTTAAAAAAAACATACTAAAAAGTCGAAGAGTTCTTAATTTGAAACTATTTGTAGCAGTAAGTGCATACCGATTTTTTGCAGTACAGGTCAACCTATGTAAAATTAAGCTTTAAATTTCAGCTTGGCAAGTTGCAGGTGAATAAAGTGTTATTTTCTATATTTCTCTATTTACTTATTTTTTAATTATTATATACAATCAAAAATTATAAACTTATTTGATTGAAACGTCCACATTTTAACGCAAAATAAACTTCGCAAATTACTTACCTTAAGCTCACGGTTATAAATTTTAAAACCACGAAGAGATCGAACCAGTGACCAGCGTACATCATTGCCCTATTCGGTCATTAAATTTGGACGCCTAGGTAAAAATTCAAGGCAAATTCATAAACCACAAGTGCAGGAGTATATTATTTTATGAAATTTAAATAGCATTTACCGAGCACAATTTTGAGGTGACCTCTTCTTAGCCTTTACAACCACAGCTTACTTTTGAAGTTTAGGTGCGACGTTGCCACATTATTCTAATTTTCTTGATATTTTTTCTCAATGGAAGGGTTTACGAAAAAATTGCAATTGAGGGACTTTTAGAGTCTGTTTTACAATATTTTGTGTAATGATAAATAAAAGTACGCGCTATGTTGTGGTATAATTTTCAATATTTTAGTTTTTTCAAACAGAGCACATTGCATTTTATTATTATATCTTATTCTATTTTTTGTTCTCCGTCTTCTAATACGTAGATGTGTTTAAAAAAAAAATAAGAAATCGCAGTAGCTATCAATTTTAAATAAAAAGAAAATTTAACAAAAAAGAAAGAGTACAAAAAAAAATAAAATTTGAAAAACTGAAATATCGATATTTAAAAATTCTAATAATTAAAACATTTTGTTATAAACATGAAAACTATATGAAAATTTAATCATATTTACAGCACAACAACGCGCGTACTTTTCGCTATCTCCGTATAAAAGATCGTAAGATAGACTTTAAAAATAACCCTAGTCTGACTTTTTTTGGAAACTATTCCACTGCTAATAAATTTCAAGAAAATTGGAATAACGGAATCTCAAAAATAAACTGTGGTTGTAAATAAAGCCTTAAAAGAGGAAAAGGTCAATCAAAATATGCAATGGTAAAAGGTTTATAGGGTGATTCATTTACAAAAAAAAACTAAGGTTTGTGTTACGACTTAAAAACAGAACACTCTGCTAAGTTAAAAATACTTTTAGCATACAGTACTCAGAAAACTGTATAACTTCGGCTCTTGATTTTTTTCCCTCTTTCTTATAATTAATATCGAGAAATACGCGTTTATTGACTCACTCTGTTTATTTAAAGCAGATAACCAACGGGAAAAAAATGCCCCCTCAGCCATAATAACAACATCAAGTGTTTATGAAGATACATCGGAAGAATGTCACGTAGAAATTAGTTTGATGTAAATAAATTTGTCGCTCGAAAATTGAGAACGAAAATTATTATTATTAATTAAGTGAAATATATTTAAAGCAGATAATAATTAACGGGAAAAAATGTAGACAATTTCAATTTCTCAGGATATGCTTAACTTCGACTGTTTATGTTTACACTTCGACCGAATTCGACTACTAGTACAAATATCAGCGATTAAAAGACAATGAAATTTGGTGGATTTTGTGTCCTCAATGCATAGGAAAGGACTAATTAATTCATACTCAGTTTTTTTCCCAAAAACACTCATAAATTTGCAGAAATTCGGCAAAAATGTAAGATGACAAACTAATTTTTCCAACGATTTACCATGGTTCAAATAATCTCAAAATATTTCCTCGATTTCACAACATTCGGTTTTTGCAATTTCAAAGTTACATCATTGTAAAATATTGTTATAGAATGTTGATTTTTTTTCCTAAAAATCTGGATGCTAAGGGCAAAAACTCAACACGAATTCATAAATCACACATGCAGGAATATGTTATTTTATAAAATTTAAAGAACAAGATGACGTTATAATTTTTTGGGAAGGACTTTAAACGAACAAATTTTGATTAACGATTTATCATCTTTCCTATAACCTTAAACCGTTTATTTTAGTACATTCGCTTTTGAAATTTCCAAGTTTAATTATAAAACACAATTTTGTTTTTTTCCAAAACTCTCGATGTCTAAGGTAAAAACTCAACACGGATTCTACATTAGACATATGTGGAGTATGCAGTTCTACAAAATTTAAGACATATTTTTTCTACAAAATTATAAATGATGTCATCATTTTTTAAGAGGTCATAAACGGAAAATTTTGAATAACAATTTACAATAAACTTAAAAAACTTGTAAGTTTTTAAAGCATTCGGTTTTACAATTTCAAAGTTAAATTGTAAAATGTTACACAATTTTGATTTTTTTTCCCATAAATCTGGCTGTCTAGGGTGAAAACTCGACACGGACTCATGAATCACACACGGAGGAGTATACAATCCTATAAAATTAAATATGCAAGACCAAAAAAAAGAGACAAATTAGTAATAAGCTTAAAAGTAAAATGGTACGTTTCACTCCACATTTTGTTTTTTTTTTATATTATAAGGTGCTTTATCATTTTTAACAGGCCAATTTTGACTTTGAAGTATTTTTTTTGTTTTTTTATAAAAATCTCAAAGTCAGCGGTTTCTATATAGATCCGCTGGAATCATGGTCACAATCTTTATAAATCCACAACTTTTTAAAAAATAACCTTAAAAATGGGATAAATTAACTTTTTTTATTTTATAAAAAAGCAATAAAAAACTTCAACGTCAAAATTACCTATTTGCTTAAAAACATGATAAAGTACCTTAAAATAGATGAAAAAACGGGTAAAAAAAGCTTAAACAGATGAAAAAAAAATGTGGGGAGAAACGTACCATTGTACTTTCAACTGATTTCAATTTAGAATTTTCATCTAAAACGTCCGATAATCCAATCCTTAAACCCGAGTGTCATTCAGTTGAGAATTGGATTTGAAATCATAGACAATATTTTTTGAATCACCAAAAATTATATTTGTTAAAAAAATTAAATATTACTTTAAAAAGGTGATGATTTATTTAAAAAAATGCGTCGAATGTTTTAAAATTACTACAAATGACTAATCATGTAAAATAAACTCAATGCTGTAAAGGTAACAAAAAAGATAAGAAATTAATTATTGATTGACAAGATTAAATTAAAAAATCTAAAGTGATATTCAATTACATAGCGACCTTCATAAATTTTGTTTATTTTCAAGAATTTTTAGGTGTAACGGTAATTTTTAATTATATTTATTTATAACATTTTATAACCGAGACCGCTGGAAATTCGCAGTTATGCAAATAAATGCATCCGGAATGTTTGTTCTTTTTATGATCTCGTTTCTTAGTTTTTTCAACATTTTGATGAGCAAGGATGTTTTATTTTCTCGTTTAGTTGATATTATAATTCAATATGAAAAATTTTTCCGATTAAAACTTCATGAAATTTACCAGATGTACAGCGTTCGTCAGTACGTGCTTAAAATATTGTCGTCTTAATTAACTGAAGAAAAGATATTAGATCAATTTTAGTATCATAAGGAAAACAGTACTTTTACTAAAAAAAAACCTTTTGTGAATCATGAAAATGTGGACAAATGAATGTTTATGAATTTTAAATTGCCATAAAAAAATATTAATAAATTTATGTTGGGTTTATATTGTTAAGTACGTTGTAACGTGAGATATTGTTTCGTAAAACCTTACTTTTCAGGTTCCTTTAACATATTTTAACCGCATTGTTGTCACTGCTTGTATATTGTGTCTTAGAAACTTTCACTTGTCAGATCAATACGCCTGGTATCTTACTCCTAATTTAGTTTCTTAATGCTACTTAAAGTAGTATTTTTTTCATACGTACATCAGCTTTATGTAATTAAAATGGCACATTTTAGACAAACGGGGTGTAATATCTACCACAATTATGTTTTAATTATTAAAATCTCACTGTGGCGTACATATACTTGGAGAAGTTTCGTATTTAAAACTTTTGTGATATGTTGTGTTTAGCGCAGTAAGAACATTGATAATAAAGCTGATAAAGCACATTGTGCCATCTGTAAGACAACACTGAAACCAACATTAAACACGCATTTTCCTCAAGAGGAAACTTTTTCCTTTCACGCAACCGCTAAATTCGAACATAACTGAATTCAGAAACTAGCAAAATACGAAATTTGCATTTAATACCCGCAATATTTACAAAAAAAATAATAATAAAAAAATTGTTCGTAATATAACAAATTATATAAAAATAACAAATTTCCGTAAGATATTTCCACTGTTGTGACATCCCTGATAGCCCGCCCGACAATACACCATTCTGAACATTCAAAGCATAAACAAAACAAAACTGTCGCCCATTCCGCCGAGATATTTATATCGAGAACGTGGAAACAAACGGCGTCACAACCGACAGAGACCCGCCGTGTTGAAGAGACGTCGGGACGCTCTGTATCTACTGGACGCTCCGTCATGCCGCGTCGACGGCCTTTCCCTCTCATAAAATGTGAAAGTGACCTTTAAAAAATCTCCAAAAATTGCAAAATGGACACCACCAGTGAATCTAACTCCATCAAGTCGATCGGAACCCCCACGTCCCTGAAAACTCCGAACTCGACGTCTCCTTCGAGGAAGCAAGTCGGTTTCAAGAAAGCCAGACCCCGATTGATCATCCCTCCGCCGCAGGAGTTTCGGATTCCACCTCAGTACGTGGGGACTGCAGGGGTTCCAGGAACTGCCCAGTACACGGCCTATCCTGCGTATTTCAAGAAGCAGTCGACGTTCATCTTCGATCAGTTGCATGGGATCAAGGACCTGACCAAGTCGGGACTCGGTGTTGGTGAAAAGTGCGCTTATTGGTTATATAATAAGTTAAAAAAGTGGAGCAGACAATGGTTTACGCACATGTTTTTGAGCATAATTCTGGTGCTTTATACTATCGGGGGAGCTTTCATCTTCGAGGCTATAGAAGGTAACCGACTCAAAATTTTGCAACAGAGACAGAATTAAATTTTGATATTTTTCCATGATCGTTCCGAACCACGTTGGCATCACTCAGAGAAATATTATTGCCTAATGACCATTAGAAACGCCATTAGCACCATTCCAAAAATAAACCTTCACCAATATCATCAATCCATATTTCAGGCGCCCACGAAATCGCAAAAAACAATAAAACAGAAGTCAGCCTCCAGCCCGTTGACGTAAGATCTTCGAGGAACAAGTTAATCAGAGAGTTAAGAGACTTATCGCTACGGTTACCGAATAGTACAGACGACGGCCAGTGGACCAAAGAAGCTCAAGAACTTTTCGAGCAACACAAAGAGGTGTTGATCGACAATGAACAACGGAAGAGAGAAATGGAGAAGGAACATAAGAAGAAGTGGTCGTTCTCGAATGCTGTCGTTTACTGCGGCACCGTTTACACCAGCATAGGTACGTACGTTAGAAATCTCGACTAAAATGTTCCAGAAAAATGTTCCCACATTCGATGACTAATCGAGTAAATCAATGGGATTTATATCTGGCGGGTCTGGTGTCACTTTACGACAAATTCCAGATATACATCCTCAGCCAAGTATGTGTCGTCTAAAAATATGACGGTGTTTGACCCACGCTTACTAGACAACACACTTTCGAAAAGCTATTGAGGAAACGACTTGTAAACGTTGACAGTGTTTTCAAAATAAACTTTACAAGTCGGAATAATGTTGTAAAATTGTAAAACACAACACTCGCTGATGAAATGTAGGTCAGTTTCATCACTTATGCACTTTTGCTCTAAGAACTTGGCACCGCATCTTCAAAATTTATGAACTATTAGAATTAGAGACGAAATTTATTAGAGCGATGAAGCTAATAGTGGCCACCTTGCGAAAATTCGATTGTATCTCAAGGTCTTAAAGGCCAAACGTTTGAAGTTTGCCGCAATACGACGGTGAAGTTATCGATTAGAAATTCCGGCAGAAGCGAGAACTACAGATTTAATCAAAAAATGAAAATATTTATACAAAATATGACATATTTACTAAACACGAAAATATTAGGTAAATAGTTCGAACGTTTTACGTGCACGCGTAAAGCGGAATAATAAACAAAATTCCCTAAATTTTTCTTTCTCAGAATTAGAAAATTTTCGATAACGCAATCACTTGTCTCAGCCAAAAGTTGTCAAAATAAATTCCACTTGTGTTCCAGATAATTACATCGTTAAATTTGTATTTTTAATTTTAGTTCTAGGAACAGCGCGTGCTATTTTGACAATGTTTTGTATTAGCGTTGCTTTGTGCTTTTTATAATTATCTTCGTTCAATGTACTTTGTTACGTCAAATATCTTCCCCTTGATTTTCTTGTTGTGATCTCGAGGCGATGTACACAATATTAATTAATGGGTTAATTAAACACGTTTATTCGCTTATATCAAAACTTTAAGCAAATAAACTGTTCCAAAAGTTCAAAGGTTTTCATTTTATCTGGAACTCCGAGTGAGTTGTTTTCTTTGAATAAGCGAATCAAGATGAAGTTTCTAAATTTACAAGCAAATCTTTTATGAGTCGTCGACACAATTTAAATCTGACCGCTGAGTACACGAATGAAAAGTTAAAACGCAAACAAAATTTTATTTTAAGAAAATCTAAATAATTATTGGTCGGCGATGAATCATTACGTTTTCGATTTTCCAGATGAAAAGAAAATTTACATAATTTAAAATTAACCTGTGTTATTATGAATCGGAAGCTTTGAGGTCCCTTTAATCATAACATTTGTTCTCTTGTCTGCAAATCATAAATTATTTTTATCGATTTATAACAACTGTTATAATAGTAATCCAAAATTGTTAAAAAACACAAAATGACGAAGTCTTCTCATTGAATTAAAAGTGATAATTGGCATTTTAACTGTAAAAATATTTCATGCCTTTTGTTGGGATATCTACCATGCAGTTTAACAACACTAAATTTAGGGCTATAAATTTTGAGCGTAAAGGTGAATCGTTGTTTAAATTTCTTGAATTTCAGATACGTCAAGGCACTTTAGTTGATTGTTTTTTTGTTGTAACAATAACATAGAGAGGTTGTGAAAATTTTATGGCTACACAATTTTGCTTATTGAACGAAAAGCTGTATTATACATAACGTTTTCAGTTGTAAAGAACAAAGTCGGTTGCAAACTTTTTTAAGTTAGAATTAATCCTTAAACTGCATGGCTTTTCCAGTTACTATAAACTTTTTTTTTTTAGATAAATAAACCTTTCTTTTTTTTTTGTTAACATGTAAAGTTTTGGATATTCAGTCAGACTTTAGAAACGGTGTCTTTATCACAAAATTGGCCGTAGTATATCGGATTTGACAGACAATTTTAATATAATAACATAGGAGTAATAAATGATTTTAATAATAAGAAGAAATCAATTTGGTAAGATTTTTTTTAATCCTCATCACTTGGAGAGAAAATGTCCTTCTTATTCGTTAAAATTTACTGATGTTTTTTACATATTATTTCAAATTCTGTTTTATGGTTATTTTTCACTTATATTTTAGAGGATACCTCACGTTTTCATCCTATTTTTTAAAGAAATAATTAAACAACGATGTTTCTAAGAATATTATACATTATTACATAGTAACGTTTTTTGAATGTGTTTTTAAACCTTTCGGAAACATATGTTATTTTAAAATTTTAGACTATAATCAAGCCAATGAATGTTGAATTTAAATGAGAGAAAAAAATTAGTGAACACTTCACATGTTTTTGATAAGTAGCAAAGACAAAAGATTTGATTATTTTTAAAAACGACAACGCACTAAAGTGTAAGTAATTTTAATAAATAAAAATAAAATAACATTAACAACAACAAGCTTCTGTTATAAACTGTATAAAACCCATGAGGCATGATACATTTCTCAAAGAATTGTTAAGTGCATTTAACGAATTGGCAACACCACTAAGAAGTCTCTTATTGAAAATGTATTGCTTTACACACTTATAACTAAGAGTGAAGTAAGCAGTAGCTTATTTGGACAAAATTTGCTACAAAAATGCTATACATATTATGAAAATAATTTTCCATCCTATTTTATAAATAAATCTTTGAATTTTCAGATTAAGCCCAAAAAAAAATAACGATCTATTTATAGTGAGTCCTACTCAATTATTAGCTATTTTGTTCTGTTTACAAAGAACTCTACATTTTTAGCCAACATATAAAGTTACACTGTTTTTAAAAGCATTATGTATATATAGTCTATCAGTATTCGTGATCCGAATTACCAATCAAAACAGTATATTTTGCATCACACGTCAAAAATGCGTACTGCGGATTGCGTGTCAAACAAAAATTAAAAACATATCGTTCGCAAAAATGTAATGATTTCATTTATCCGCAAAATTATACACAGATAAAAACACTTCTAATCTTGTTAAATGCTTAATATAATTAGTTTTTACTTCCTGGGCGTAAGCTAAGGAAGAATTTTTCCTTTGGATAAGGAAGTATAGTAATCGAGTCTATTGGGCGACTACCACTTTCATATTTTTTGGACGTTTCATGACCTTCGGAGTACGAAAAATTTGGTCTCCCGTTTTCATCTGTCACTCGTACCTATGTGTCGATTTTTATTAGACGGATAATCTCCGAAACTGTCGGACTGATTGTTGTCACATTTTGTACGTATATTAAGAATATCATGTAGATGGTCAAACGATAACCAACAATTTGACGAACGATTGCACGACTGCCTACTTTCATGTTTTCTCGACGTTTCATGACTCCTGGGGTCTATTTGGTATCCAGTTTCGATTTGTCTGTCTGCCCCCTGTCCGGATTTTTATTAAGCAGATAATTTCCGAAACTACTGAACCGATTGTTGTCAAATTTTGTATGCATATTGGAAATATCATGTATTGAAAAACCAAATTCTCTGAAATCTTGCAAACATTTTGAGGTTACAGGAAGTATGATAAATCGTTATTCAAAATTTCGTCATCCTACAATTGATTTTTTTTTTAATTTTGTAAAACAACATGCTTCTGCATGTGTGATTTATTAATCCGTGTTGAGTTTTTACTCTTGGCATTCAGACTTTTAGGAAAAACAAAATTTTATAACATTATTCTACAACTTAACTTTGAAGCTGCAAGAACAAAACGCTGAAATATTTTGCAAATATTTTACGTATATCGTTAATCATAATTTGTCCATCATCTTACAATTTGGCCTAATGTTTTTCAAATTGATGAGTGTTTTTGGGAAAAAACTGAATGTGGTTACTTAATTAATTAATCTTTTCTTCTGCGTTGAAAAAACAAAATCAATAAATTTAATTTTCTTTTAACCGCTTATGCTTGTAGTCTAGACATGTCAAGAGTCGAATTCTTTTGAAGTATAAACATAAACAAGCGAAGTTAAGCATGTACTAATAAATTGAGAATATCTACATTTTTCCCGTTGATTATGATTATTTTGCTTAAAATATTTCATATTGTCCACGCTTTTTTTTTGTAACGTGTTAACATACACGGCATTACACGACTGAATACGAGCCTGCAAGAATTAAAAATGCAACCCAAAATACAAATTCAAAACTTACTTAGATGCCTTTTAACTTCCCGAGCATAAGCAAAGGAAGTATTGTAATCGAGTATTTTTGCATTTTCTCGACCTATCATAACCCCTAGAGGACGAAGAAATAGGTCTCCCGTTTCCGTCTGTCTGTCCGTCTGTCCGTCTGTCCGTCTCTCTCTCTGTGTGTCTGCCGTCCCGGATTTTTATTAGACAGATAATCTCCGAAAATTTGTCTAAACATCAGAATTTGTCTAATCATTCCGATCAATAATGTGATGACGTCACTTCAAAATTGTACATAGTAAATGGGTTTTAAATTGTATGAAATAACATAGTCCTATACATGTAGTTTAGGATTCCGTATTGAGTTTTTACCCAAAAGGTCCAGATTTTTGGAAAAAAATCAAATAAAACAACATGTTGCAATTTAATTTTGAATGTGCAAAACCGAATGCTTTGAAATCTTGGAGATGTTTTAAAGTTGTGATAAGCATGGTACATTTTTGATCAAAATGTATTTGCTCATCACCCTTAAAAAATTGGTGACACCACCCCAAAATTTTGCTAAAAAAATGTCAACTTAAATGTGCAAAGTATGATGAGTCTATACTGATATATCACTGCATTAATATTTTTCAGATTTGCTTATACGGGATGTTTCAAAAAAATTAATGACAAAATCAATTTATTGTATTGATTAAATCAAAAATTACAAACCTGAATATTTTGAAATCTTGCAGGCGTTTTGAAGTTAATGTAAGAATAGTAAATTATTAATTAAAATATATCTGTTTATTCTCCCCAAAAAATTGATGACGTCGTCTCAAAAGTTTGCAGAAATAAAGTCTACCCAAAATGTGTAAAATGTGATGAGTTTTTACTTGTGATTTATCATTGCATTCATGTTTTTTAGATTTGCTTAAACAGGTGGCTCCAAAAATTAATTAATGAGTCAATTTATTTTATTGAATAAATCAGGAACGTCTCATTCCATTTTCCGAGAAAATTTTGGGAATACAATGCTGTTATTTTTCAATTTCCATTTTCCACTAAATGTGAAAATGGAGAAAGAAGGTGGGCGGGGCTAAATTTTGCATTTTTCTAGTTTTATGAGCAAGCAGTAGCCCCGCCCGCCCACTCCTTCTTCGTTCCAGTAACTACTCTTAATATTGTTCAGTCCTAGATGACCAAGTTTTAGCCCCGCCCACTTACCCTTTTTTTTCTTAGAAGATATGTCACTTACCAATTTCAATCTTATCTTAAGAAGTACTAGCCCCGCCCACTGGTCCTATATTTTTTTAGAAGATATGCCGTTTGCCATAATCAGTCTTATCTTAGCAAGTACTAGCCCCTCCCACCCACCCTTTATTTCCTTAGACGGTATGTCATTTACCAAAAGCAATCTTGTCTTAGCAGATACTAGCCCCCCCCCACACATACTGTTCCCATTCTAACGATTTTATCTCTCTTCAATCGAGATGTACCTTTCATTCGGACTATACAAAACGAATCATTGAAATGGAAGCGGGGTGGGTGGGCGTGGTGAATAATATGTTCTTTTGTAAAGTGAAACATATATTTATATCTGAAAAAAAAAATAATGAGAAAACGGGTGGGTGGGTGGGGTTAAATTTAACTTATTCGTACATAATTTTTATAAGCAAGCAAGAGCAAGGGATGTCACAGACAAAACTGAAGTACTCGTATGATACCTCAGTGGATGCAGAAAAAATCTCCAGAAGAGTCTCCAAAATAAATTCATATCCATTCATGTGCTTATCCGTGGCTTCATACGTCCCAGTGAAACTGTATATGTAAACAAACTCATAGACAAAATAATCGTATGGAAGTAGGATATGTGGAGGGCTTGCTTACTGAGGTTGGGCTTTTCTATGTTTGTCGTTATCATTTCCGACTAAGGATATTATACATATGAATCACTTACTGAGCCTAAGCTAAGGATGTATAGTAATCGAGTCCATCGGGTGACTTGCCACTTTCATGTTTTCTCGGCGTTTGAAGACCCCTAGAATATGAAAAAAGTGGTCTCCCTTTTCCGTCTGTCTGTCCTCTATGTCAGTTTTTATTATACAGAATGACCGCCCTAATTGTTCTCAAATTTTATACGTGTATGTGTGTATTAGGATAGCGTGAAAATGGTAAAACGCTAACCAAATGTTGGCTGATCATCCCCAACACCAATAGTGCAACGTCATTCCAAAATTTACAATTGTATATTTTTTTTATTTAATGAAATACGATACTTTACACACTGTAAAACCGAATGCTCTCAAATCTTGCAACCGTTTCAAGTTTATCGTAGTCCTGATAAATCGTTAATCAAAATTTATTCGTTTATCCCCTCCGAAAAAATTGATAACTCATCCCAAATTTTTCCGAATAAATTCTGTTTCAAATCTGCAAAATATTATGACTGTATACTTGTAGTCCACCAATGGATGCATCGTTCTTAGAATTACTTATGCAGGAGCACTAAAAAAAAATAAATGAGTGATGCAATTTATTGTATTGATTATGTTAAGAACCACTCACTCCATTTTCCCGAAAATTTGGCAATATGGTACTGCTGTTCTCAGTATTACACTGTATCTGTACAGTCCTTGCAAAAATGTTGATGATGTTTACTTTAATATTACATACATATCTTTATTTTAACTTATAATGATTATCATAAAAAAATTAAATTCGCAAAATCAAATGATTTTCGAAAAAGTGGACTTGTGGTGGGGCAAGTTCTGTCGAAATAACTTTCAACCTATTTTTTTTTTACTGAAAAAATACATATGTAGTTCATAATTCTAGTAAAATAGTAAATAAGTATCGTCATAAACAGAACTGCTACTTATAACAGTAATGTTGCATCACAGTATCCACGTCAAAAATGCGTGGTACGTACTACACGTATCAAAGAAAAATTTTAAAAATATCGTTGGCAAAAATGTAACAGTTTCATTTATCTGTAAAAAATATCCACAGGTAAACCACTGTTAAATGCTTAAGATAATAATATCAATTTTTTCATTATTTTATTGACATTAGAACCACATGAATAGAGAAAAACTTGAAATGTTGCCAAAAATTGGAGGTACTATAAGTTATCAATATGACTTTTTTTTATTCTATACTTGAGTATTTAATTATTCCATGCGCATGTGACAAGTAAATACATATATTATATATAATTCAAAATAGAAAACTGGAGGCGGCGACGTGGGAGTAGTAACCGCCGCAACAGTTTTCGTAGACCACACAACTTACAACCTAGCTTCGCTAATCTAAATGTAAAATAAAATCGGATTTTATGTTACACCATGTTACAGGCTATGGACACATCTACCCAGAAACCGCTTCTGGCAAAGCAATAACTATCGTCTACGCCCTGATCGGAGTGCCTCTTTTCCTTATCGCCTTAACTGATTTCGGCAAACTCTTTACGCGCTGTATTAAGTTCCTATGGTCTTTCGTTCGCCGAGTGTATTACACCGGAAGCTGCCGCAAAGTCCGGAAAACCGCTCACGTCGAAGTAAGTACAGTTCCCAATTTGATTATAGTAATAAATTAATAAAAACCTTATCGAAGTGTAATCAATTTTCTGATCGAATAAATGGGTGCGACTGAAAGAGTAAAGGAATCACAGTTGTAATATAAGTGCTCGATCACGTAGGGTCGGCGATGTTAAAGGAGATATATACAGGGTGCCGCATCCAAGTCTGGATATAGGGAATTAACATGCGAATTGGTTTTTATTTTATAATACCTCCCCAGATCACTTTAAAGCTATTATTGAGTGATGGCTTTGTGGAGGTCGAAGAGGGCTATCGGCCAGTATTTTTTTCAAATCGTTGCATCGCGCTCATTCACTGTAAAAAGGTTTTAAAAATCGTATTTTGAAATTCGCGCCCGATCCGAATTGTCGCGAAGTGTTCCGTCGTACTGTCGAAGTTCGGCGATCGCGTATTTTCATTACCCATGCAAAATTCAAATGTCAAAGTGAAATTAGAAATTATTCTCATCAGAAATCAACGAACAAGTCAAACTGAATTATTTTATCCAGTGTGATGATTATTGTAGGACAAATTAAACGGAATAAATGCACAAATTGATCCATTCATTCGTCATAGTGCGCGACCCCGTCAAACGAGCCATCTCGAACTACAATCAGACCGTATCCAAAAAGCCCAAGATGAAGACTTCAAGACTTCGAGCAGCTGGTCTTCCTCAAAACCCCATCAAAGCCCATCGGCAGCATTGCGACATTTTCTGGGAGCCCTCAAGCTAGGAATGTACTCGGGCTGCTTCACTCAGTAATCACTGAACGACTCAAATTGAATTATTTTATCCAATATGACGATTATTGTAGGTCAATTTAAACGGAATAAATGCACAAACTGCACAAAATATTTTATTAGGTAAGCTATGTTCTACTGCGATTAGATGAAAAAGCGGGGGCCTGCATGTTCTTCAACAGTTAATTTAATTAGTAGGTAATTTGGATAAATTTCACCCTTTTTTTTTGGAATCACTAAAGATTGGAAGTCAATTGATTTTACATTCGTTAAGCAGGGATGGATTTTTTGCCTCCAGGAAGCATCTTCATTACAGGAAATTTTTGAGAGGGAAATGTAGAACATTGACTCATCAACATTTTAAAGCATTTTTCTCTATTACGAATGTGTTTTGGGATTCAGAAACTTTTGTATTACTGTTTTATTTGTTTATTGTGTTAACAACAACAAAAATAAAAATAATATTTCGCAAAATAAAGTTACATTTATTTTCAAAGGTGATAAAAATTACATAAAATCAGGTGGGCACGACGTTTTCTAGGGGTCTTAAACAGATGAGATAGAAGAATTTCAAAAAGCATCATGACAAAAAATTGAAGCCTGGGGACTACTTCTCACATATAGAGTTTTACGAAGGAACGCTTGAGAGAATCTAGGCTGATGGAGAGTTTTTGAGGAAAATTTGTTTTACTGACGTTCATTTGGTCTTAAGGGAAGTTATAATCGTCAGAACGATCAAATTTGAGCATTACACAACGCTCACGTGGTCCATGACCTTCGTTATCAATGGCATGCAATTGTCAGTGTATGACTGGGGCTTCTAGGACATCATGTCATTGCACCTTTTTTCATCGAATCCGGATTGAATGCTCAGAAGTAGGATAATATGCTAGCTCAGCAAATACTTCCTGGGACTCGAAGGGTGCGGCATCTGCAGCAGGTCTTTTACATCCAGGACCAAATCTCCAGCCATACAGTTCGCATAAATGTTGTTTATTTGAACCAGTATTTTTCCGCAATGTTGGAATGGAAAGTTTGCACCGCCCCATTGCCCTGTGCAATCGCCAGATATAAACCCCTGAGAATTTTTTCTTTGGAGATTTCTTCACGACCATCTGCATTCAGACAAGCTATACAAACAGAGAAGCGCTGAAACAAGCAATCCAGCAATATTGTCTTCAGATTTCAACTAAAATGCTGATCAACACGCGTAGGAGTTTTGAAGATTGGCTTACTTACTGTACAGCTGCTGAGAGCAGTCTTTTTGAGCAATTCTTGAAAATAGTGCAATATTTCTCCAGATTCGTACAATATTTCATTACTTCATTCATCAACAATTGTTAAGTTTTGTTATTTGTAGTTATTTAAATGGTTCATTAAAAGGTCCTCTTCAAAAGCGCCAGCTATTTTGATGGCAAATCTTATCATCACACAATAAGAAAAGCGAGCCCCCGCTTTTTCATCTAATCGCAGTAGAACATGGCATTTTAATGAGATTTTAGTAATAAAGACTCGATCAGCACCAGCAACATAACCTAATAAAATATTTTGTGCAGTTTGTGCATTTATTTCGTTTAAATTGACCTACAATAATCGTCATATTGGATAAAATAATTCAATTTGAGTCGTTCAGTGATTACTGAGTGAGGCAGCCCGAGTACATTCCTAGCTTGAGGGCTCCCAGAAAATGTCGCAATGCTGCCGATGGGCTTTGATGGGGTTTTGAGGAAGACCAGCTGCTCGAAGTCTTGTAGTCTTCATCTTGGGCTTTTTGGATACGGTCTGATTGTAGTTCGAGATGGCTCGTTTGACGGGGTCGCGCACTATGACGAATGAATGGATCAATTTGTGCATTTATTCCGTTTAATTTGTCCTACAATAATCATCACACTGGATAAAATAATTCAGTTTGACTTGTTCGTTGATTTCTGATGAGAATAATTTCTAATTTCACTTTGACATTTGAATTTTGCATGGGTAATGAACATACGCGATCGCCGAACTTCGACAGTACGACGGAACACTTCGCGACAATTCGGATCGGGCGCGAATTTCAAAATACGATTTTTAAAACCTTTTTACAGTGAATGAGCGCGATGCAACGATTTGAAAAAAATACTGGCCGATAGCCCTCTTCGACCTCCACAAAGGCATCACTCAATATTAGCTTTAAAGTGATCTGGGGAGATATTATAAAATAAAAACCAATTCGCATGTTAATTCCCTATATCCAGACTTGGATGCGGCACCCTGTATAAAATTTGAATCGATTACGCTGATATCTTTGATCTTTTTCAAAAGTTATAGTTTTATGTGAGGATTTGCCGCTTAGATAAAGTTTGTTTGTATAAATTGATTTTATGATTTTGTTTTGACTATTTTGATTTACAACTCAAACTGGCTCTTGCAAAAGTAAATCCAGAATCAGTTTAGAAATGACGTTAGCTTTAATTTTGTTGACAAGATAATTTACCCTATTACTTGCAATATCGATATTAAAAGCTAAGTTTAATAATAAGTTGAACAGTGTACGGAAATAGCCTGAAACATCAAAACTGACACAAAATACCCTTGCATCGTCAAGACAATTAACCTTTTCTGTTTCTTAAAAACAAATGTTACAATATGTGACTACTCATTACAAAAAATTACGTGATATTCCCCATCAAAAAATGACATTTGGTATTCGGCATAAAATGCCAGGTATGTTTAGCTTTAAGGAAAAACGCGTAAAATTTTATTTAAAAACAAAATGTAGGAAGTATTAACTTTGTAACTAAAAATACTTTCATTGCCATTGTTGTATAATGTATACTGTTTTAATATGTTATTAAATTTGGATTTTACTGTGGTTGATGTCCCCTCTAATAACTGACTTGTTTTATTTATCATTCAAGTAAAATGCATGGTATACTATCGACTTTTGACCCTCAAATGTCTAATTTTTCAAAACATCTCCGCTGTTAAATAGAAAAGACTTTTAGTAAAAGCTAATTTTAATGTCAATGTCATCTTTTTCAGGATATCTTCAAAGGCGCCCAGAAAATGTACGAAATCGCAACTTTCCGCCGAGTTTCGACCATGGTCGACCCAGAAAACCCAGATAGACCGCCTACCACCCAACTGGAAACGCCCGTCACGCCAGCAATATCGAACTTCGAGATCGACGATGAGTTCAACCTTCCGATCTCACTTGCCATTTTCATTCTCATACTTTATATCTTCTTAGGCGCTTTGATTTACTGCGTCTGGGAAGGCTGGCCTTTCTTCGATTCTTTCTATTTTGTGTTTATTTCCATGACCACTATAGGGTTCGGTGATATGGTTCCTGACGATCCCGCGTGTATGATTGTCTCGATTGTGTACTTAGTTTTTGGGTTGGCTCTCATGTCGATGTGTATTAATGTTGTGCAAGTGAAACTGAGTGACACGTTCAAGCAGGCTTCCTGTAAAATTGGAGCCACTATTGGTATTTCTGTTGCCGAAGACGACGGCAGCATAACGACGGTGCCTCCAGATAATGTAGAATTGCCAGCTGTGCACGATGCCAATAAAAATTTGGCGAACGGAACGCCGTCTGAACCGAGTGATATAAAAGATGAGAAGGAAAATGGAGACGATAAAAGTGACGAAAAAGAAATTACGTGAGAGGACTTTTATGGGAGCTTAACTTTTCCTACTTGTTTTTCGCCGAATTATATAGATGTAGGAGCAAGCTTTTTGATTGCATTTTTATTTTTCAAGAAATGATCTTAATACGTTGTAAATATATTGACAATTTCTTTATTGTACGTACTTTGAAATAATGTCTATTATTGTATCAACAATAACATGTCCAGAATGTCGAGAGTGTGATAATTTAGATGAGAGATCTTCCGGTGCTGTATATTTACTGTTTGCTATCAGACTATTTACTTTTTAACAATAAAATTTATTATAATGTTTGTAATGTCTTACATTTCACGAGTGTCTGCCAAAAGCATTGTTGGTTGCATATCGAATTGAAATACGTAATTCAAACGGAATTCGACGTGGGCGTATTATCATATCACGGTTTATTATTTCTGCCGAATTCATTATCATTACAGTGGACAAAAATCATTATAGTTGTAACTTTCGATACTAAAATATTTCTGTAATCACTTACAAGCTTTAAAACAACACGTAAATTTATTCAAGTGCTTCGGCGATGAAAACAATCCAAAACAAGTGCCTCGTAATTTTATTACGAGGTACTTACCGTCCTCAAATGTGTTTACAGAATTCAAAATTTTTTCACACCAACGAAATAATAAATTTTTGCACCAGTTGCGTATTTCTGTTGATTTCAGACGACGCGTTTCGCAAATTTTCCAAAAACTAAAACTCTTATAAAAGTTTTTGAAAGAAAAAAACTAATGGAAACTGGAACATGTAAATGTATTAAAATTCCAAATTGAAAGTTTGACGTCAAAACGTCTTCGATAAGTCGACAAAGTTTGCCACAGAAACGTCATAAATAAACATAGTTTTGATGCACAAATATAATTACACAAAGCATTTCTTAAAATTTAATCAAAATAATGTTTAAACTAATTTATACAGACTGTTATCGGACCAATCCTAATGTATGGGACTGAAGCAATGACTGTGACGAAATTGCAAAATAAACAACAAAGAAAAAAGTAAGAAGCATATTAGGACCTGTAGAAAAATTAGAAAATGAGTACAGGCTGTTTATAAACATCGAACTGTGAAACATACTTGAATATGAAGAAATGTAGTTACAAAAATAGTAAGAACGCTGGGACACGTCTGAATGGCGAAGACAAAAATGTAGAAACCATGTGGCAAAAAAAAAAAAACAGAGAGGACCAAGATCAACATGATGACGACAAGTAATCGACGATCTCTGCAAAACTGAGATAAGACACTGGGAGCAAAAACTAACGATAGATTAGTTTGGAGAAATATTGACATGAAAATCATTTATGACAAGGGACTGATTTGCGATTGATATTTTATAGGGTAGATCAATCCCTTGTCCAGAAATATTTAAAAGCGATGTTAACCCATTTGGGGTCTAGCTATTATATATAACATTTACAATTTTTAAAAATTATTGAAATACTGTAGGCCTGATCCATATTGCTTATTTTTATTTATTAGCTACTAAAGAGTTTGTTCTAACAGAATTGATATTTTACCAAAGTATGAAAACCGATAAGAATAGTAAGTACTAAGCATTTATGTATTTAGAGTATTTAACATTAATTTATATATTTTCACATGCTTCCCTGTGACTTCCAGTTTTGTGCAGCAAAAATTTAAGCTGGACTGGATAACTGCAGAAAGGGAATAAAGATATCAAAAAATTTTTTTGTTTCCTATAACCCGCAATTTCTGTTTTGTAGCAAAATCATTAGTGATATTGTTTGATACTAAAAAAATAATAATAATAAAATTGGAATTTAGGTACAAGTCAAAGCATCAATATTAATTTAGAGCCAGGAAGTAGGTAAGTATGAATTCATATAAAACGAAAACTTTGTCGGTCCTAAAATAGGACAATGTCAATTTTAGCGGTGACAGAAAAACATTAAACTTAATTTGTAACCCAGCAAAAAATTCTTGGTTTTAGAAGTTTTTTTTTTTTTGTAAAATGTAAAATAACTCCTAATTATTGTCTAACTAAAGGAAAATAAAATTTTCTTGTCTCATGATTAGCCAACTAATTCGTATATAATCGTTTTTAAATATTAAACAACTAATTTGTATGACTCTACCTACACTAGGAACTAAGTTAATGATTAATTAATTAGTAATTCATAAAATTTTTTGATAAAAATTTGTTTAAGCTGAACCTGAGTTTTAACACAAAAAAAAAACAATAATTTTGTTGCGTTTACTCAAATCGATCTAATAAAAGTCTTATATACTTATCATATCATAGACCATTTTTATTAACTTTTTGACTAATTTACAAGTCATTTAATTATATGTTTGTTAAATGTTTTCCTTTTTTACTTCCCGAGCGTAAGCGAAGGAACTATTGTACTTAATAGAATCCGTCGGCCGACTCTAATTTTACGTTTTCTCGACCTTCCATAACACTTAAGAGTATGAAGAAATAGGTCTCCCGTTTCCATCTGTTTGCCTCTCTGTCCGTCTGTCTGTCTGTCACTTCATTTCTGGCTGTTGAACGTGTCGGATGTGTTTTCGGTGCTCTGCGGTGTTAGAAGTGGTGTAGTCTGCGAGTCGGCACTTAGAAAATTCTGAGGGAAGGAAAATCGGTGGGGGAGTCAGGAATAGGTTGGGGGGGTTCTCCTGCGGAAGATCGGGATAAATCAGAAAGAAACATTTTTTTGCTTCTTTTTGTATTTGGTTGGGACTGTAATTTTGGTTTGGGGACTTAGGATAATTTTGGTTGGGAATATAGAAAACTGTTCTGGACAAGCGGAGTTTGAAAGAAGGGGCATTATTGCCGCGTGAGGAGAAGATGGAAGAGACTGTGACACAAAGGGTAAAGGAGATAGAGAGGTCCTTGCGAGCATGCCCATTTTTGGACTTGAATAGAGTTGGCAGGGGGGTGATTGTCCAGGTGTTGGAATTTTGGGGTAAGATGGAGACCATAGCATTGGAGCTAGCGGTTGAGAATAGTTTTATGAAATCAACAGTGTTCTTTATACTTCGTATTAGGAAAAGGATTGAAGATAATTTACCTGCTAAATGTTTTATATGTTCACTCCATGTTAGACTTGCATCAATAGTTATGCCTAGTAATTTAACAGAACTGATGCTATTGGAGTTACTTGAGGCTACTTCAAGTTGCTGGGTTTTAGATTTGTTGAGCTTTAACGTATTAGAGGCAAACCATACTTGGGCACTTTTTATTGCTGTCTCTGCTTTAGCTGCTGCCGTCTTTATATCACGATCAGTTGTAATAATAGTTGTGTCATCTCCGAACATCACACAGTCAGCGTTTTCTTTGATGCAGTTATAGAAATCATTGGTGTAAATTATGAAAAGAAGTGGCCCTAAAACTGACCCTTGCGGTACTCCGAGACTAACATTTAAAGTATTCGAGTGGTTACCGTTTGCAGAGACACACTGTTTTCTGCCAGTGAGGTAGGATGCCAGTAAGTTAAGTGGTATTCCTCTAATGCCATAAGACTCAAGTTTTGATATTAGTATGGGGTGGTTGACACAGTCAAAAGCCTTGCTTAAATCGCATAATGTAATCCTATTATGTTCCCCATTTTCAATAGCCTCGACTATGTTTACTATAAGGTGTAATAGAGCTTTGGATGTTGAATTATTCCGTCTGAATTCAAACTGGACAGGGTTAAATAGCTGTATAGTTCAAGTCTTTGTTTGATCAAAATTTCTAATAATTTCCCAAAAATTAGGACAATACTAATGGGCCTATAGTTATTTATATTAGCACCTTTCTTGAAGACTGGTGTAATTTTACTCACTTTGAAGCAATTGGGAAAAATTCCAGTGCTAAGACATTTATTGATGAAGTTAGTGAATGGAGTTAATAATATGTTCACCGTAGATTTTAAAATTTTTGCATTTATACCATAAACATCAGTTGAAGGAGAATTCTTTAATTTGTTAATAACATTCAAGATTTCAATTTCACATGTCGGATGCAAGAAAAATGAGGAGTTATTATTAGGCATTTTATTCACAAAATTTAGAGCTGAAGATGTGATGGTAGTATCAATCACTTTTAGAATCTTATGAGCAGTAGATGAGAAGTAATCATTCATTTCATGAACATCAAATTTCGATACGTTTGAGGCATTACTTTAGTTACGATGCCGGTTTACAAAACGCCAGGTATCCTTACAAATGTTATTAGAATTAGAGATAAAAGAACTGAATGCATTTTTTTAACAGTTTTTGGAACAGTCTGAAACTATTTTAAGAGCTATTACTGAATCCCTCATAACTTTGAGTTCATTATTAAACCACATCCCACCGCTAGCTGAGTTTGTAGCTTTTTGGAGTGGAAAACATAACTCAATGTGTGAACAAGGTAATCCGCAAAAGTATTAACGCCATTACTAGTAGATTCTCTATAAGACCAATCAATTAATTTAAGATGTTCTTTTAATTGAAATAAGCCAGATTTATTGATATGAGCAAGAAGGGTACAGTGACTCATGATTTTGTTTCGAGTGTAAGGTTTGCGAGTGAGAATGTTTGGTTTGAGCCAGGAATGTTTGGGTTTTTAAATAAAAGAGGACTGAGTGAAACGGATCTGTGTGGTTGTGGTAGGCTAGAGAATGTTTTGCATATTGTTTTCGAGTGTGGATTGTATGATGAAGAAGGAGTTGTGAATGGTCAGGATGGATGGGGGAAGAGGAAAGACGATTTGAGAGGTTGTTGGAATCAAAGGAGATGTGTGTGTGTGTGTGTGTGTGTGTGTGTGTGTGTGTGTGATATATACAAGTATGGAGTCTGTCAGTGAAACAGTTTTTTTTCAATTGGTAAGATTGTGTTGGAAAAACATTGAAAGTACAGCTTTATAAATTAAATTTTATGTAACATATTTATAGAACATGATTGTAATAAAATAATCACAACAGGTGATAATTTTATGAATATGAAATGAAATTATTGACCACAGAAGTAATTACATTATTTATTTTTCAGGCTATGCCGCTATACTTATAAAATTCCAAAGCAGGAAATATCCTAGTTGTGAACCCACAATTCATTTTTAAAAAATAAGACAAAAAACAACCATATTTTAAAGATTTCAGAGTTGGTACTCTAGTCATCATTAAACTTAAAGGTAATACCAATTTGCAATAAACAATCAAAAGTTTATAAACAAAATTTCTAGCTTTCAAAAAGTATCAAGAATCAAAAAGGATGTATAATTCTGGTGTCTGTTGTAAGCAGCTGCACTCAGTAATAAGGATCTGAAGTCAATCTTTCGTCATTCAGC